CCACACACACACACACACACACACACCCACACACACACACACACACACACACACACACACACACACACACACACTGTGATATTGTCTTTTCCCCCTCTTTTATGTATGTTTATCAATGAAGCAAAAACAGTTAGCAGGTAATCTTTCTTTTCATATTTTATATTAAATCATAATTAATATGATTTTGATTAAACCATTGCTTTTATTTTTAACATTGGTACAGCTGTGGTCATATTTCACACAGCCATGAAGCATACAAAACAGAAATGACATTAGACATACGTACAAAGCACCTGCACATCATTTTAAAAGAACATGATGTTATGGGACACCAATAAAATCTGAGTAGAAATTGGCTTCACATGTTTCAGGTCCCCATTGAAAGCTGGCACTAGGAGTAACTTCTGATGAATAAAAACTGACAAGGCACCTCCTATTATAATTCATCAAGTTTCCTTCTTTGTTTACATGGGTTGACCAATGCTGAGTTATGGATGACATGTTTTTCCAGTCATTAATTGATGCAACTAAAAGTTCCCATACAGACTAAAATGGAAACTGTCAATCTACTAATCAGATCTGCATTTGGAAGTACACACTTATTTCCAGCCCACCTATCATGCAAGATAATCATTGGGCAAGTATGATCTCATTTATTTTATCTGTGAAAAAGGCTTTACCCTGATTTTTACAGGCATTTGCAATGGGGTAGATCATTTTTGTAAATCCAAATACAATTGCTTAAGACCTTATAAAAAATAAGAAAACCTAATATAAATCACATGTAGTCTCACTCTCTTTATGGTTCTTCTTTTCTTTCTGTAATTACTTACATGAGAGAGAGGAAATATTTTCCACTCATGAGGAAATAACCTATATGATACACTAATCATTCTGGAATACATCCTCATTAACAACTTTGATCAGATCCAGTCTTACTGTGAATTTAGTGGACTGTTAACAGGGAAAAAGAACTTCATAGAATATATCTGCTCTCAGCTACTGCGTGTCATATTGCCATTATATCATGCAGGTGTACATTTTATGCAGGTTATTCTACACATAAATAAAATACAATTAAATAGTGAAGTATATGCATAGCTATTATGATATACAAAACTCAGGATGACAGTGGTTTCTGAATCTTTTTGCATAAAGTTTGGATTTGAATTTGGGAACAATGATGCAGTCATCCTCCATGTCCTATGGCCAAAGGATCTCTCTCTCTTGTTTGAACTGCAGTTGTTTGTAACTACCTGCACTCTTGCTTTTTGGCTCTGTACTCTTTGTTTGTACGTAAGGTCTTGGGAAACCCCTGGATAGTTTTGAGGCACCCCTGGATAGACTCCAAGCACCTCTCAGAAAATGCCAGGTCTTAGCTTTCCCTTTTTTTTGACTACACAAAAATAATAGAGCAAATTTTCTCTTGCAAAGAACTCAGAAAGAGCCTAGCAAGTTAGAAATTATGGACTACATGTAGACATTGGATTTATGGCACGTTATAACCTGCCTGACACCTGGTAAACCCAGGTGACCTGACCTCTCTACATTTTTACCAGCTACATTCTTTCACTAGGTCAACATTCCCTCCTCCCCCCACCTACCTGTCTCGCACCTATTGTCTCCTATCACCTCTGATCTTCACTGTCGCACATTTGCATTTTCACAGACCTGCATTTTGCATATTGACTTCTGTTCTACCATGAGAACACAAAACACCAGCAGCCTCTCCCTATGCCTGAAGAAGAGAGTTTGGGCCTGAAAGCTTGCAAAGAACAATTTTTCCAACTATTTAGTGGGTCTAATAAAAGATATCACATTTACCCAAAGATCCTTGTCTGTTTATGCCAAAGATCCTTGTCTCCTTATACCACCACAGCTACAGCCAACACCAGCAGTCAGAATGTTTTTAACAGTGTGGATTCCTATTTCAGATCTCAGGGGTGTGGGTTGTAGCTGTGTTTGGTCTAAGGACATAGGCAGACAAGGTTCTTTGGGTGAATCTGATATCTTTTATTAGACCAACTTAAATAGTTAGAAAACAATTATTAAGCAAGCTTTTGGGTTCAGAAACCCTTCGTCAGGCTAAGGAAGTTTCAGCAGTTGGTGTGTGCTCTTCCTGGATGGAATGAAAAGTAAAGAAGCCAGAGGCTG